AGATGGCGTTTTTGATGTGAAAGAAGGATACTCGAACGAAACATTGTTTGATTTTGAGTGTCCAGAAAGGTCAAGCTACTTTTAGCGCTGTACCTGAACTATGTGAGAACTATGTTTTAACGTACCTCCAGAAGATCACTGTAGTTTGTGCGTTCGGTGCTATGTGTGCACGTGCATGCATTGACCTGATACGTGTTCCATCTCCTCCTTTTATTGTATCTTTTAGTTCCTCATACATTTTGTCCCGCACAATAACAAACTAAGTTAACCTCTGTTTTCCTTTTTATGCTTGGATCACTTTGTTTTAATCCTTTTCCCGCTCATGCTTATGCAGTTTATGCAGTTTGGCCTGCAGTACAATGCATAAACGAAAGATTGGTGCCTCGCCATCCCTCTCCTCTCGCTTGTTCAGTTCGCCCCCTGGGTCAGAGACGCGACGTCTTCTCAGCAATGGCCGTCTCTTCCACTTTTGTTGTTTCCGGCAGTGAAGCTTATTAGTCTATGATCGGTGAGTTCTTGGTACCTGCTTGGCATCTGTCTGCACGGTTCAGGAGATGACCAAAGCGTTCAACGGCGCCGGTGGGACGTGGCCCTGCCAGCTGGGTTCTTTGCTTCACAAGCATCCGTGGGCACTTAGGTGAGTCTTGAATGTTTTGAGGAACAACGAGCGAAGAGAGGCGTGTGTCGTTTCAGCAGTAACTAGTAAACACAAGCTGACGCACTCCCCCAAGTGGCGGGGCACTGGAGATGCAGAAGACGGCGACCACCCTGCACGACAGATAGCACACTTGGGAGGGCTGTGGCGATAAGCAGAAGGGCAAGCAAAGTGTCGTTGCAAGACCCGCCCTCTTAAGGACCATCGGCACTGGCGCAAGACGTTCAACTTCCTATGCTCTGAAGCTATTCGGGGGACAAGATGGCTTTGCATTGGTTTATGGCAACAGTATCTGGACGTCTAATATATACAGCCCGATACTACGGCACACACATGTGCACATGCAATAAGAAGGCAAATCAAAACACTCATCTCGATTAATATATTGTTGCCTTATAATGTTTTTTTTTTTTTTTTTTTTTTTCTTTTGGGGGCATCGATCAGTTTTACCAGCACGCTTATTCTGTCACTTTTTTTTGTTGGGGGGCTTCTTGGCTCCGCTTGTTTAGAGTTCACACCGTTACTTTTTTCACGTTCCTTTCTCAAGACGTCGAAGGTGAAACAGTTTAAGTTACGGGTTTAGTACTTGTCGAATGCAGCTGCAACTTTGATAAATATAAACTACTGCATTTACCCACCGACCGTATGGATTCTGGCTGCAACATGACGTTAATCGGCTTTAGAAACTAGCAAACATAGACTTCCCAAATTAGTGCGTGCTGGTAAAGTTACGGGGATAAGGGACATCAACATGAACGGCAAAAAAGGACAAAAACGAGATTTGCAAATATAGATTTTTTTTATTTGTTCTTTTCATTTGAGGCTACACTCACAATGTAGTCGCAGTAGATTTTGGTTTGGCCGTTAACTGGATCATAGTCGGTGACAGGTAAAGAGTTCAGGGCGAAAGAAAGGAAGGCTGGGGAGGACGAAGCAGATGGATTGATGAACAGGAAAGGAGGAAGCATCCCCCTCGCTCCAGCATTCCGCCCGCGTCTTCGTCCCCAGCCTTCCTTTGCCTCGCCCTAAACTCTTAACCTGTCATTGACTATAGTTCTATGCATAGACCAATTAACTCTCACAGATTTCAACGTTACTACAATTCTATGGGGAAAGTTGACCTGATACGAGTGCTTGCCTTCCCGTAAGTTGTTTTTTAGCCTGGAAAGGATGGTGTCTGCTAAACAATCAACAGCAGCGTTTTGTATAGATGGATGCTGCACTCCAGCCACAAAAAGACTAATGCCAATTGATGACGGCTATAGTTTTTACAAATCTGTAGTTATACTCGTTTATATGCTCTCATTTCTTCCTCGTAATAGCATGGGCAATAAACCGTGTGACGAAGAAAACGTTAAGTGGCGGACAAAGTTAAAAAGAAGCAAATCGATTTGGTTTTACATTCTGGGAGTTTTTCAGTTACAAGTTTACCCGCGTTCAAAACCGCAAAGAAATAAAAAAAAAACACTTAATATAATTTTTTTTTTATTGAAACTGTAGTTGAAGACCGCGGAAAGGTTGAACTAGTTCACTTCATAAGAATGACTCAGCTGGACACTGAGGCCCACAGAGGGGTCCCATATGGAGCTTGATTATTATGTATGTCAGGACGAGATTCGCCTGACGTCCTGCTTCTATCTGGGGATCTCGTTCACTGAATAAACTGACAGGATCAACACTCTAAAAATGTCTGTGCGAAAACTTTCACGCACAACACTCGGAGAGCCAATTGCAACTTACAGAGGCAGCTCAGCGAATGACGATGCGGAAACATATGTTTAGACCAAAAAACGCAGTCTGAGTTGCGACATTAATCAATGCAAAACGTCACGCTTGCATTGCTTAACGTCACAACTCAGACTGCGTTTTTTGGTCTAAACATATGTTTCGGCATCGTCATTCGCTGAGCTGCCTCCGTAAGTTGCGGTGATTGGCTCTCCGAGTGTTGTGCGGGAAAAAAGACTCACGGGCTTTTTCTTAGAGTGTAGGTGGTCAGTCTTGGCGTTGAAATCCCTATCATTGGAGCACATCGACTTAAATCTACCGGCCATATGGCTATACGATATGCTAAGTTTACAGGGATGCGGGTGTAAAACGTTTAGGACAATCCTTCGGTTCATGATAAAGTTGAGTAATTAATGTCGCGCCTTCGAGTAGAGCCCGGATGTCTAGAAAATTAATCTAGAATTGAGTAGCTGTAAAACAATTTATCTCTCTCTCTCTCTTTCTCTCCCCCTCTCCACGTACTGTATATACATATATAGTATAAGTATATACAGGGTGTTTGATTTTAATTCGAACACATCGACTAAAAGAAAAACCGTGAAAGGTACACTATTGCACTTTGTGCAGGTGAGTTAAACGATCAGGCGAGCCGAATATTATCGTCACGACAATTCGCAGAATTAACTGAAATATGTTAACTGTTTTAGTTTTTGAAAATGAACATGACTCCAATTAGAATTTTGCTGAGCGTCATCGAATGCCACTACATTAGGAAATTTTAGAAAGACGTAAGGAGCGTGAAAAGCCCGCGGGTGCGCTAAAGTTACCATTCGTGCAACGGGCACAAGGCTAGCAGTGCGAAGACGCGAATAAGATTATCGTCTGCGTTTTTGTACCGCCAGCCTTGCTCGTGTTGTACGAGTGGTAACTTTAGCGCAATGCCGCCCTTCCTTTAGCGCAATGCCGCCTTTATAAAATGTCTAATCTTGTGGTTTTCGATGAAACTCAGCAATATTTTCACAAATTGAAAAGTTAACAAATTTAGCTAATTATTGGACTTTATATGATAATTAGACCACCATATTATGTCCCCTTGGCCGGATAACTCACCTGCACATACCTCAGAAGTCCATCTCTCAAGGCTTTTTTTTTTAATAAATATGTTTTAAAATAAAATTAAGGGCCCTGTATATATGTGTGCTATACTATATTATGAGAATATACCTGGAAAATGAACTACAGTCGCTGACGTGACGGCCTTCGACCAACGCAAACAATGAGAAAACACATTGGAGAGTGCTTTTTAGACAGCGCGAAGTAGGTCTGCCTTTGTAATGTTACGACAGCGGTCACAATGTTGGTGAAAAATTTCGCGAGTCCAGTACGAACGCCAACCTATGTTCTTTATCGTCCATCACGCGCTAGTAATTCGACGAGCTCACTCCGGTGCAATGTCTATCCAGATCAAACGTACACCGTTTTTGTCAAACACAGGATCCCTGGGTTCTGAAGCACAAGCTTTCGCTCCACGTGGTGCGAGCTGAGGTGCACTATCACATTCGACGATCGACATGCGAGTCCGGTGTTACCAGAACACCTGAAGAGGAATATGTAGCTCGTGAAACAATATGAAACTGCTTTCAATACTCGGTTCACTTCCTTCGTGGAAGATCGCAGGGAACTTGAAGGCCCTCCAGCTCAGAAGAGAATGATATAGGCATGTTATTAGATAATTTGTTGGATGGCTGCTTCTAGTGTTCAGAGTGCACTCGTACTTACGCACTGCGTGCCGCATATTTTGGCGTTCTATCCTCGCTACATGTGGGATGAAATCATGGGCAACGTTTTGGGACATTCCGTGGACTAAAAAGTTTTCAAGGAAATATCAAAATTGTATTTTATTTGTGTTATATGATACCCAGGCAATTACAGTCCTGGGAAAAGCAGATATTGGTGACCCGCAGGAATCAATTCAAAACAAAATGTGTAGAGCCGTGGAATAAAAACTATGCTCTTCCAAATGTTTAATCACTGCTTATTGATATTTTATGACTCTCATCTAAAATATTACCGGGGAAAAATGCCATGTTTGTCGTTGTTCAGTTTAAATTGTCATCTTAGTGGATGTGCCGAGGCGTTGATGTCCAAGAAAGTTGGGGATGCTGGATGTTATCGTCATTATGCGTGAAGTTGTCATCTGAGCTTAAACCAGTAAACCAGCTTGCGCAGCATCAGGTATATTTATTATGAGAAATGGCGTCTTCCCTTACAGCTTAAGAAAATTAAGATGCATCCTTGACGTAATGCACCAGTCATGGAGTGCCTTACATGAGAAGCACAAATTAAATTTAAAATGCGGTTCACAAATGTGCGTATTGGAAAGTCATCGGTAACGTGTAATTAGTTCGTGTCTTGCCGATCATCTTCGGGCGGAGGGGTGAGGAGTGTGCCGTGGGTTGGAGATGGGCGACCGCAGCCAGAGCTAGCACGTCAAAGGCACTTGGATTACGCGCTCGGGGCGCGAGGCCGGATAGGTTGGGCGGCAGCAGGAACGGCCCAGCAGGGGCTGCGATTCGTCCGGGCGGCCCGTGGAGCACTCCCTTTCACCCGAGGCGCGTAAACAGAGCGCCAGGCGTCGGCGTGGGCCCGCCCGAACCCCGCGACGGGCGTCCTTCTCCACTTGCAGGCTGCTGCAGGCCACCTCGCGCTGCGGAAGCCAGCGTCATGCACGCAGATGCCAAGTGACTGGCCCGAGTGGCCGCGCTCATCCACTTGGTCTATTCGAGAGGCCGCTCCCGCGGTGCAAGAGGCGGCTCGGTCCAAGTGGCCGCCGCGGACGCGCCGCTGGAGACAAGTGCCAAGTTGAAAGATGCTGGCCAGTTCCGCGACGCCCTTCTCCGTCAAGGACATCCTCAACCTCACCGACCAAGTGGTGGAAGAGCTCGACTCCCAAGCGCTGCTTCACCAGGCGCAGAGTCTGGAGAAGGCCTTCTTCGAGGAGTCCGCCCTGTCTCAAGACAACTTGCTGAACCTGGACCCGTCCCTGGCCATTGAGGCCGACGGCTTCTCGTTCTTTCAAGACGGCTGCTCGGTGTCGCTGGGCGTAGCGCCAAACCACGCTGACAACGTGTCGCACTTCTGCCTGCCGTACCACGCCAGCTGCTTCGACATCGCTTCGGCAAACCTGGCGCCAGAGGGCGCCTACGGCCAGGGGGGCGACTGCCGGCCGGACGACAACGCGGCTCTTTTCCACCATCAGCATATGGGCCAGCATGTGAACACCAGGGCGGATGAGCTGAATCAGTCGTTCTTCTGCGATTCAAGTAAGTCCCCATAGGTGTTTAACGAGAGCCTCAAATTAGTGGAAAACAACAACAACAACAACAAAGGGTGTTTGCAGGCGCGTCAAATATACCTTGCAAGGTATATTTGATGCGTATCATGTAACAGAAAAAAAAACTCGCTAGCATGCTGGCGAACCCTTTTTATGCATAAGCGTTATTAATTGACTGCTCAAGAAAAAAAAATTATTTTCAAAAGTTTGGGTTTGCTGTGCTAATGGGTCGAAACTCCACGGACGCGTGCATGGTACTTTAAAAGTGTCTGTTCATTGAGCTTTTATTGTTTTAACACCTAAACGGAGCTCTTACCGTCTTCGTATTTTGCTTGTATTTTTAGGTTGATACTTGAGACACGATGAAGCGAAAACACACACAAGTTCCTTATTCTCCTTCGTACATAAGTTATGAGATTTCGTAACTAGAGGAAGTATTCATGGGCATTTTTGACGCACTCGGAAGTAGAGTGCGGGGGCAACGTGGCTGGACCGACCCCCCCCCCCCCCCCACCCCCCAGGTGCATCAACTCTAATCACGATGGTCTGGTGCAAATAGTCGATCGCTCGAAAAGCTCACAAAAGCCATCAGCCTCCATTGTCTTAACCAGGGCATAGCGACTTTTGTGAGGCCTTGTTTTGAGCACACTACGCTTGACATGAGTATCGCCACCACTTTTATACGTGTGTTCTGGTCTACCAAATTCCACAGCTGGGATAACGATCGTTTTTTGTAATTCTACTTTTCCTACACAAGGGCCCCCGTCACTCTCAATGATTGCTTAGTTAACAACTGTAATCCTGCCGGAGAGACTGGAAAATGAATTGTTTTTTTTTAATAAAAATAAATAATATTTATTTGATTTAGATCAGATTAATTGGATTTAAATCGCTGAAGCTATAAAATTAATTCTTTATCACTAGATGCACTTCTCAACATGGCAGATTGATTGATGAATTTGTCCGATCACTGTTAATAATGCGGAACAAAGAAGTACTGTAAATGTAAAGTGTTGTCTAATTAACAACTTTGTATTGATGTAATCTCCACCATACTAAAACAAAAATAGCCTCATTAAAAAAAAAACTTTTATTAGATTTTTTCTTGCGCGTTCTGGTTTGATTGTTATAAAACATTAAATTTCGAGTTTTCGTTCATTTTGAATTCTGATTTTGTTGCAATGGGATGTTGCAAAACTGACGGAAAAAAAGTGCAAGGTAGAAATCAAGCTTAACGCTACGATTTGCTCAAAAGAGCACTTCTTTTTGCTCGTGTTCAGCCTTATATATATATATATATATATATATATATATATATATATATATATATATATATATATATATATTGCTTGATCATTCTTTGATTTATACGAAAGCATCAAATGGTAGAGAAATAATAAATAAAAAATTGTTGCGGGATTATTTTTGCGATTATGGTTTGATTTAAATCATGATAATAAATCTTGTATAATTTAACTAACGATATAAATAATATTTCTTTTCGTTCCCCACCCTGCTACCGGGTTGAACTTTGATAATATATCTGGGAACGATAGTCCAGATGGCTGCAGTATCTCAAGCGTTCTTTAAAGCTACCTCAAAACTTCACAATCTTATTTACCGGTCAGAACTAAATCTAACAATACCTTTCGCTGCGTTCATTGTGCGGAAAAGCACAGCGTCGAGCTCTTAAAACATCACGACAAGGAAATAACCAAACAGTACCCTTCATCCACTTTTTGGCTTTTCATCGTCCGGAACATCACCGTGGCGCAAGCCCCGGAATTTCTTGAATGCGCATGCACCTTCAAGACCCGACTCAGACTCTACAATGGTTGAATTATAGTATGCTTTTCGGTGTTCTGCTCGTAAACGCTCTGCACCAGTTTCGAATGGAATCACTTCTCAAACTCTCCACGACTTTTTACTCAAACCCTTCTTGGTCTCCAATATTACCTTAAACACATTTGGCGTCGTCTGTTCTTTCTCCTACCTGGCTGCAATCCTTGTTTGTGCCATTTCATGTCAGAACAGCCCATCGGTGACACCAACTGCCTGCAGACCCATGTCTCTCATACGCTGTGTGAGAGACTAGTAGGTGAGGAAACTATAGACGCTTTACACACGCGCCAGATTGAGCCGCCATAGCCGCCCTTCTCTTGTCTTACCGAGATGCCGAGCCACTGAAGCGGGCGTTGACGGGTCTTCACAAGGGCCTATGCTGGACACAAGAACACAGTAGCATCTAAAATGGCAATAACCTGTCCTGCTGTGGTAATGATGAAGTGATGCGGACGGAATAAGAGGAAACAAAAACTGAAGGTCAGTTATGGCGGCGCCCATGCACAGCTGCTGTAGAGCGTCTATACTCTATTTCACCTTAGGATGTACCGCAAGAAAGGCTACAAGCGCGGGCTCCTTGCTGTGGGGGGCATCTCGGCTTCACAAGCTCTCGTGCACCAAGGGCAGCTGCCAACGGTATAAGCTCGCGCTTCTAGCCTTCGCTGCGGTACAACACAAGGTGAAACGGAGTATAGTAGTTGTTCAACGTTTTTGGCGGGCAGCTTGAGACATATTATGAGCTGCCTAATCAGCTGTCTCGATTCCGGAAACAACTCTCTAGGAGAAATACGTTTGATGGTTTTGTATCAGAAATAAAACAATTGTAGGCAACAGGGAAACACTTTCACTGCCATATTTCGTTACATCAGGTGTACCGTTTACGAAAGTACGTTACCATCATTCACAAATTTATGAAGCTTGGCGAACAAGGTCGAGGGTTTGCATTGCTACGCGCTTTTATGAAAGAAACTACAATGTGTGTACGCATTGACGGGACTCGTAGTTTGAAGCGCGCAATAGCCAAAGGTGTTCCCCAGGGTAGCGATATAAGCCCTCTCCTGTTTAACGCTGCAATGGCGGTCTTGTCAGAGACCCGACTACGTATTAACAACACCCATGACCAGTGATCAAGACTGCAGTATACGGTCACAATGTGGCCGTTTGGGGCTACTGCCCGACTAAGGTATACTATAGTAAGATGCAGCAAGCCTTCCAGGATTTGTTGACCACAGGGTAGGCAAAACCTCAAAGCTCACCCACATCACCTTGCCAGTTGTAGATAAACCCTCAAATCTCAAGGCCCACATTTAAAACAGCTGTCCTTAGGACCATGCGGCAAACGTGCCATGCAGAGCTTCAATTAATAATCTACAAAATGAACAAAACATAAGAAGCACATGTTCCAACGTATTCATACCTTGGGTGCCTGTGTAGATCACCTGATCTCCTGGGCGCCCTGCAGTCTAATTAACTCCAACAAATGTCGACGTCGCCTCAACACTAACCAAAGGATTTTGAGCAGGACGTGGGGAACACCTCAAGCAATAACCATGCAATTGTGTGGGGGCCTTATTTTTATCGAATTTGGTCAAATGTATATCTGCGCTGCCACTAGTTTGTATCATGAACGAGCAGTCTTCAGTCGTTCAGGCTTTGTGCTACAGCCCCAAGGCTATAGCGTAGTTTACACAGTGCTGCATCCTCACACTGATGCGAAAGTCCGTGTATTCCTCTTGTGCCTCATTCGCGCACGCTCTTGTGCGAAGGAGACCTAAAACAAAGCCACGCTCTCGCGCAAGCAGTTTTGACAGCGTAGGAGCTACGGAGACTACAAACCTTGACAACCTGACGCAAACCATTCCGGAAAGGAGATCTGGCCCGTGCCTTTTTCTATTCTTAGTTGTTTTTTTCTCCCTCACGGCGGAAAGAAACCCTTCATGCAGCGCGCGGGAGTTGCTCACGATACAATTTGAGACATTCTTTCTCTCCCAGACTCGGTTAGTGAGGCCACTGTAAAATTAACTAGTCTTTTCACATTCTTAGAGGCCGTTTGCTTATTGGACCGTTTCTAAAACACCGTAATTTGAACAATCACTGAGCTGCGGTTACACATATGTGTTCCGGACTCGGCAGCTGTCAAGTAACTTGGTTATTTCGAACTTTTTTTTCCTGTTCTTCCAGTTTCTTCTTTTGGTGAGCCTCTTCCTACTTCTTTTGTTAGAACTCGATGATTTCAGTCACCGCAACTACTGGCCACGGACGTGAACCTGATTATTCACCGACGGATTGATTCTTACCGAGCCCAGTCCGGGTGATGACGCATGCTCGTATTAAAAAAATGAGCTGAATTTTGCTGACGTGGCACTAGTTGGGAACCCGTTCGTATTCAGGTAGTTTCTGGCTCGTGTACTACTTTCTAGCATTAACCATTCGGCCGCGTTCACACTTGCGAAAAACTCTCTTGTCGCCGACCGAAGTTTCTGGACGGAAAACGATAGAGCCATTCACATTTGTTAGCACCCGTCGCGTTCGTGCGGCGCCGGTTTCTCGCGGATATCAGAACAGACTGACCTCGGCCCAAGCTGTGCTAAACACACACACACACACACACACACACACACAAAAAGCTTTTGCAGATTTTTTTTTTTCAGTAAACGGTAACCAGCAGTGCTGGGAAAAGGCCCAACATTCTCACGGCAATGCGAGAAGGCAATAATAAAATAACGAGCAAACGGAGACAACGTGCGTGACTCAGGCCGATTTTATTCCACAGAACTCCTTCGTGGGCACTGTCTTTGTTGCTCAGGATTCTCGATCAGCATTTCCACGGAAACAACGATACCAGCGAGACGGCGCCATTTGCACAACCTGGGAATTCCGACAACTCCGGCGGCAACCCCAACAACTCGGGCGACTCGGCCAGGATGTGACGCCGGCAAGCGCCATTCCCTCCGTGCGTTCCGACTGGCTGCGATGGCGTGGAAACGTTTTCTGCGCGGGAAAAATCGGTCCCGGACCTATGCGGAGGGCAAGTTCGTCTGCTTCTCGCGCAGGGGGTAGCGGTGACGTCACAACGCCGAGCCCTGATTGGCTGATGGGGCCCCCCTATCTGAGCGTCGTCTGCTCCTTTGCAACGTCGTCTGCTCG